AAGGGCTACTCCACTCCACCCGGTGAGATGGATGATTGGAGTGATGGAGAGAAGAAAAAGCTCCAAGTAAATGCTAAGGCTATGCACATCCTCTTTTGTGCATTGGGCCCAGATGAATATGAAAGAGTCTCCTCTTGTTCCAATGCCAAGGAAATATGGGATAAGCTTCAAGTCACTCATGAAGAAACCGAGGAAATGAGGGAAACCAAGATAAGTTTTTTTAACCATAGCTATGAGAATTTCAAGATGAAACTCGATGAAGACATCAAAGCTATGATGGATAGATTTTTCGTGATTGACAACGGTCTCAAGGGATTTGGAGAAGTAGTCCCTAATGAAAAGCTTGTAAGAAGATGATCCACTCTCTTCCAAAGTCATGGTAATCGAAGAAGATGGCGATCATTGAGGCTAAGAATCTAAAGTCTCTCACTCTCGATGAGTCAATTGGTTCTCTTCTCACTCATGAGTTGATGGTGAAGGACGAGGAAGAAGATGAAAAGAAGGAAAATAAGGAAAAGAAGAAGGAGGTAGACATTGCCTTCAAATCCACTAATGAGAGCTATGAAAATTCAAATGAAAAGGTGGATGAAAACGATGATGAAGAAGAAGAGATGGCCAAACTCTTCAAAAGATTCAAGAGATTTATGATTTCCAAGGAAGTGAAGCATGGAACGAGCAAGAAGAAGAGTCCCCCGGTGTGATTCAATTGTCAAAGAATGGGGCATGTCAAGTATGAATGTCCCTTCCTAATGAATAAGGGATCATCCAAGAAAAAGGCATTTGTGGCAGCTTTGAGTTATTAAGATGACTCCAATGATGAAGATGAGGTATCCGATCTATGCCTCATGGCCATCGTAGAAGATTCAATGGTATCTTCTAACTCAACTGATTTAAATTCACATTCTTTTGATGAGTTACAAGATGCTTATAATGAGTTGTATTTGGAATTTGAGACCATGAATTCCAAATATAAGAAATTAATTTCAAAACTTAAAGTTGAAAATGATTTGGTTTTGAAAGCAAAAGTTGATTTTGAAAATCAAAATGAAATTTTGAAAAATGATTTAAAGCTTTCAAAAGTCAAAATCAATGATTTAGAAAAAAATAAAATTTTGATTTGAAAATTAAGCTTGAAGCTTAACAAAAGAAAAGGAATTAATTTCTAAAATCAACTCATTATGTCTAAAAATGGCAAAATGCTCACATTGTCATTTTTATGGTCATTTGGAACGTACTTGTCCCATAAAGAAAAGAAAATCTTTTAAAATTAGACAAGTATGGGTTCCTAAGGGAACAAGGGCCGTTGAAACTAACGTCCAAGGATCCAAAGCAATTTAGATACCAAAATCCAAATAAATGTCTCTTGTAGGAGTGTGTGAGCAATGATGATGAAAGTGATGATATTCAAATGCTTTAGCCACACTTGAAAAAAGAATGAGTAACCTCTAAGCTTAATGCTTTTATTTTGGATATTTGGTTGCTCATTTTGTTTATGCATGCATGAGTTTTGATTTTAAATGATTATGTATTGTTTTTAAATCTCATGTATGTTGAAAAATGTTTTATGATGAACATTTTAAGGTTTTAATGATTTTTCATAATTTTTAGTTCATCATAATGAATTTTAGTCAAAATTGATTTTCAATGCAAATGACATCTCTCTAACAATTGATATCAACTTTTCAAATTCAAATGCTTTGATTTTACAAATTTTAAATTTTTGACCTCAATTTTAAATGGTTATGCAAGTGATTTATTATAAATGATATATCTCTAATAATTGATAACTATTTTTCAAATGCATCACATTTTGGATTGCTTTATGCACATGCACTTAAATTCAACATTTGGTATTGCATTAAATATTTTAGACTTTGATATATTGAATTTCATGTGCTACTAACATGTTTCTTATTCTTTGTTGAAATTCAATTTTGTTTGAGTGTCAAGCTTTTAAAGTCAATTTTTTTGTGTGGAATGCAATTTTTGAGGGGGAGCGTTGATTTTTCAAATGTTTTTAATATCAAGTTTATCACTTACTCTTCAATGTTATTTTAGAACTTTAAAGTTGAATTATTTTTTATATAACTAAAAGGAGGAGAAGTATGGTTTGAAAAATTCAATTTCTTAATGAAAAAGGAGGAGCCGAATACTTTCACTTATTTTCCAACAATTTGTATCTTTTTCATTGAATATTTTATTAAGGGGGTTTTGCCAAAAAAACACTTTTTCAAATGTTTTGTTATATCAAAAAGGGGGAGATTGTTGAACTATATTTTGATATAACAATTTAAGGTAAAAATGTTTTTGGACTTGAATTGAATTTATTCAAAGTTTTCAAAGTTTACAAAATTTCAAAGTCCTTAAAAGTGGATTTGAGCACAAAATGATTTTTCTGGACTAGGAGTACTGATATTGTTCTTACAGTATCGATACCTCATGAACAGTACCGATATTGTTCATATGGTATCGATACTACCAACATTGCTCAAATTCGAGAATGCAAAAATGGTATCAATACCCAAAGGGGTACCGATACTACTTTTCATAGTAGTATCTATATCATAGGCATAGTATCGATACCATCAGGCCCCAACAGGTAGTAACGGCTAATTGATTTAAATATAAACAAAGGTAGTATCGATACTCCCTTTAGTAGTACTGATACCCTCTGTTCTGGGCAGTTTTATTTTGCACAAAAATTGATCCCAACGGCTCCAAAACACTTCTAACGGCTAGAAACAACCACAACAACATTCCAACATATAAATACAAGTTCAAGACACTTGAAGAAGGGTTAGAACATCTATCCAAGCATTCAAACACAAGAGAAGAATTTTCCAAACTTAATGATGATTATTTATAAACTGGTAGGACAAATGTATATAGTCGCCCGACCATAAAGGACTCTAATGAATTATTTCAAGGACCAAATATAAGACTGAAAATTTCCATACCTCAGATATAAGATAATTTTCTATACGAATAGAGTATATTTAATACAAGTGAAAATAATGAAATAAATATCATGTAATTCAAACACAATTAAAGAATTCTATCCAAATTTGATTGGTTAATATACTTTTTAATTTATGTTAAATTTGTCTTATAAAAATATGATAATATGACACAAATACATAATTTAGTATATCAAATTTTTATTTAAAATATAGGGTAAACTACTTATTTGGTACTTCATCTATTCTCATATTTTTATTTTGGTCAGCAAACTATTTTCTTTAAATCATACCTTAAGTTATGTTTTATTTTTATTTGATACTCCATCGTTAAGTTTGATCATTGACTTAATGAAGGTGGTGATGTGACATGGTATAATAGAAAATTTAGTCCCAAAGCGTACACATTATATCAAATTTATCATAATTCAAAATAATTTAATAAATCCATAATATTTTAAAAATTATTATAAATTGTTTCAAATTAAATTAAGGACCAAATTGATAGAATTTTTAGATATTGAGGATTTATTGGATTTTTTTCAATTAAGATCAATTTGATTGTATGTATAAGTTTTAGAGACTAAAACTATTATTATACCATGAAACATCATCATTTTCATTTAATCAATGATCAAACTTATCCTTGAGTAACAAAACAAAAACAAAATTAACATTAAGTATAATTTTAAAAACATAATTAAGTGACCAAAATAGAAACGCGATAATAGATGGGATACAAAAAATATACTTTACCCTAATATATATAAAAATAAAATAAAAATTTAGAGTGTGCTTAAACAGCATAACGTAATTGTATGAAAATATAACAAAAACACTAATTGTTACACTGACGTGTATCTAAAAGAAATTTTAATTCCCTAAACATGTTTAACTCACAAAGTATAATCACATTATAAGTCTCCATGTTATGTATTGGTAGTACAAAGTATAATTACGATTGCATAAGTTTAAGTTTTAAAATAATATTAATTATAATATTGAAGAGTAAATAAGGATGTAATTATATCAATTCTCATCCCTTTATGTAAAAATTAAAAAATATATATTTAAAATACTCTAATTACACATAATTTAACAAAACTCATAAACTATGTTGGTTATAAACCTATTGTAGTTTGGATTTAATTCGTTGACTCTCTTTTTTATTAATCTAATAATAAGTATAAGATAATATATGTTTGAAGATAACTCTCAAACTAGCATTTCTGGTGCTCGAACCCGAAACTTCAAGGAATAACAACAATTTATTTATTACCGAGGTTACAAGGTTGTTCGACACTCTAACTAATAGGAATATAATCTTCAATATTTTTATCGAAATGTAATCTTCAATTTTAATGAAAAACGATGGCGTTTAATTTCATGATTTCACCTTGTTTTTCCTTTCCAAAAAGCAAAGTCTGCAATTCCCAACATACCTTTCCATAAAAACCGCAATCAACGGCCAAATGCTTATAAATCGACGTATCACATGAAAATCCAAACTCATGGTAACAAGATGATTTGTCACCATACGATTGGTTTAAATTCAAAACCATTAACCCACCAACCCTCTTAATCAAAAAAAAATTATTAGATAAATTCGGCTATCACATGATCATAGTCCTGCCAATAAAATCTATCCATCTCATTTTTTTATAAAGTGAATCTTCACCTCTTTCTTACATATAAATAAATAGTGATAATTATTTACATGTTATTTTGAGATAAATGAATCTTATTAACTGGAACTATAGTTAATGTGGTGAATTGGGTACATATAATAATTTCTCCTTGAATCATAACCCAACAATCATTACCCATCAAACACGTCACTAAACTCCAAACATCCAACCTCATTGAATCACCCAAAAAGAAGAAGAAAATTAAATCATTTTGTGCCACCTTTTCTCTTTCACCTACTGGGTCTATGGACATAATCATGCATGATTCTTGATTTCTCATAATGTAAGGTTTCCTTCTCTTTAAAGAGACAATTCTCTTTTGCATTCACATTCAAGTTGACATTAACATTTTCTTTTTACATTAGTATTCGTTCTTCAAGCTTACTTGTGTACATATGCAATGGCAGCAGAGCCTCAAGGCTCCCCCATGGAAGGGGTTCCGGGTACACCAGGAATCCGGGAGGTGAGACCCGAGTCCGGCTATGAGAATTTTGGGTTTTGCACCGATTCAAGCAGGGACTCAAATAGCGGAATACGGAGGGTTAATTTGAGAGCAGAGATCGACACCTCACCGCCTTTCGGATCGGTTAAGGAGGCAGTAACCCGGTTTGGTGGCAGCGGAACTTGGGTGCCGTTGTACAAGTTTGGAGAGGCATATGTAAGTTCTTGTTGATGTTTTTCTTTTAATTTGACTGAAAATATTGTTTGCTTTGTAGTAAGTTAAATTGGTGTCTAACATTTATGTATTCATGGGATGCATGTAACATAGATAACTTGAGAGCTGACAATGTCGTGTTAATTTTCAGATTCAAACATTATACATTAGTAATTGACTAAAATTCTAATTAGAAATCAAGTTAAAATTTATTATAATTCTACTGATGGAAAATCATTTAGTGATTAAGTTTATTTAGTAAGAATTCTTATTTAAAGATTATTGGTGACCAATTATTTGACTCCTTAAACAGAGAGTATATCGTACCCTTTAGAGTTGGGAGAAATAATTATTTTAGAAGGATGTAATCCTTCTGTACTTTCTGTAACTTTCAGAGTTTTATATTGTAAAGATGAGTTTTGAAGGGATATTGGGGTGATTTGGGATAGTACAATTTTTAGTATAGGTGCTTAATTTTACGATACATGATATATTATGTATTTGAATCTTCTCATTCGTGAAATTAGACAAGATTGAACCACCTTAAATCTGTCTAGTGAGAGTGTCTTATTTTATGTTTATAGTTAAATACGCTTACGAATTTCTAACACTATTTCAGCAATGAAAAAGAAAAAAATAATGTACAATTTTAATGTATATGAGCAGAACGGGATTGAAGAGTTTGACATAAAGAAAGTGGAAGAACAAGCAGCGGAATTGGAGAAAGATCTGATCGTGAAAGAATTGCAGACTCTGGATGTGCTTGAAGAACTTGGAACCACAAAGAAGATTGTGGAAGATTTAAAGAGACAGCTCCAGAATGAAGCATTCAAATGCATTGCCACTCCTACTTCAGATGAACAGAACATGCCATGTCCTGCTATCAAAGAAATGAACAAGGAACACTGCCAACAGATCCGGATCGGGAGCTCGAACCCCTGCCCGCTTTCGTCTCCCGATTTGATCTTGATGGAGTTGAAACAAGCCAAACTGAACCTTGGTAAAACTATCAACGATCTTGGGGTGATTCAAACTTGTGTTGAGTCCCTGAATAAGAAAATGAATAAAAGTTTACTTGAAATGACCCGTGAGAGGCTAACTTGTAAGTTTGCAGGGGTGAAGGTGAAACCACAGATTGACAACGATTCGAAGATCGAGCAGTTTAATGAAATGGTCGATCTCGATCCGGCCAAAACTGAAGTTTCAAGATCAAAGTCAGTGCCAGGGATTGAACACAATAGGCCCTACAGAAAAACTGCTGAATTGAGGTGGATTGCAGCCAAGAAGATGGAGGAAGCTGCCAGGGCAGCCCAGGAACTTGCTCTAATCGAAAGGAATGCCCTTACTGGAATGAAGGGTTTCTCAAGCAATGACAATTCATCAGGATTTTCCCTGCCGGAACCGCTGCCTCAAAACTTGAAAGTGATAAGGGCTGAAGAGGTTTCTAACAGGAAAGTAATCCACGCAATGCACAAATTTGCAGAGGCAAATATCTCCAAACTGTCAATCCTGAGGAAGGTGGAAGAAGCTTCAGAAGAAGTTAAACATAGTAAACAAGCATTGGAAGAGGCTCTTAACAGAGTCGAAATCGCAAACAGAAAGCAACTCGAAGCTGTAGAAGCTCTAAGGAGATGGATTCCCAAAGAAGAGAAAAAACAGGTAATATATAATGCCACAAGGATCAACCATTTCCATCCATCACAGCATCAACATCACTGTATTCCTCGATCACCGTTACATGAACTGATGAACAAGAAAAACCCAACGATGGATGATGAGCCAAAGCCTGTTTTAAAGCCAACAGTTTCAATGAGGGATATTCTGAGTAGGAAACAGCACGTTACTCCTGAAGAGTGTGTGGTGAAAAGGCCTAATGAAGGGCACAATACAGAAAGGCAAAGGGTAGCTTTGAGTCAAATGCTTAATGAACTAAGGGAAGATCTGACATTTCCTCAAGTACCTGATCATCAAAAAGAACATGGAGATGATCAAAAGCAGTACTTAACCCAGAGGAGAAAGTTTGGGTTCATCCACATATCTCTTCCAATGGCAAAGCAAATCAAGAAGAAACCATGAGCTTTAAACCAGAAAAACAGGACAAATTTTATGACCATATTAGAAGAAACATTGGAAAACCGTCTGTTTTGGGGTGATTTTTATTTATTGTTTTTATCCTTTTTACGTCGTTGGCTGCTTTGGATGTTTGTTTTGAAATCTAGGTCTGCTCTGAACAAAGGATTCTATTCACGTGTTTTACAATTCAGCAATGAAATATTTACGGGTAGAATTTCACGTTATCTATATGTTAAAAAGGTGTTAACGTTTGACTCGAATTGACTGTGACACAAATTACTCAACTCGAATTGATTCTGGCACAAATTAGTCAAGAGATAACTGATGAACGTAAAATATCTAGTTTGATTAGAAGTATAAAACTTTTGTTTCTTTTGTAATCAAGCAAGGACAGAGGGTCATTGTGGTCCAAAGGGCCCGCCTCTGTTGTAATTTATAAATTTAATTTTTACACTAGCATAAGAACGGTTAAAAAATATTGGATAAATTATAAGTTTAGTACCTAAAATATTATTTTTGTTCCATTTTGGTACCTAAATTTTATTTTTTATAAAATCATACCAACGTTTAATTTAAGTTACAATTTGGTATCCGGCATTAAAAAAAATTAATAAAACTGTTGATATGTCATTTTTTCCAATGATGACATGACATTATCTTATGGTGACTCATCAATATAATATCACTGTTAAGTTTTTGATGACGGGTACCAAAATAAAACTTAAACTAAACGTTAGATATAATTTGAAAAAAAAAAGTTTGATTACCTAAACAGAACAAAAGTAATAATTTAGATACTAAACGTGTAGTTTACCTTAAAAATTGCAGAGATTTTGTCTTTCTAAAATTATAATATAATAAGTTGTAAAGCCTTTGTTCTTCAATCATAAAATATTGCGATAGAACCATTAGCTCCACAACAAAAGTAAAGCCCTTCTACGACGATTGTCGGAGATTTACTGAAGTGGTTCAAATTCAATTGAGTGTAAAATTTTAAATATAAGCAATCGAACAATATTATAATTATTAATTGGAGTTATTTGTTCTTATATTTAATTTTAGTATATTTAGTATAATATTACTCGTGGATGCATTTCAAAATTTGAAAGAACAACGCGTTTTATTATGATTATATGATAGTTATGCCTTTGACACCTTTTAAAATCATATATTTTTTATTATTTACTTTGATTTTATTTCTAATTTTCTACGTGTAATTTCATAGAAATGATAGAACTGATATGCATATTTGATGTTATCATTTATATTTTTTAAAATAAATAAAAAATTAAAAAATTAAAACAGTTAAAAAGATCTCTCTGTTATGATAAAGTTCTGGCTCCATTCTTGTAAACAAATATTTATTCATATAAATAAATATTGAGGATCCGAGTTAGATGTTAGGTTATCCATGTGGATTCATTTTGTATTTTTCTATTTTGACAATAGTGAATTTTCCACTCTTATATTTTTTGTTTTCTCTAAATAAAATTTCATGTAAAATCTTGGTGCATGTTTTATTGTGTGATCATGATACCCGTCGTTATCCTCTAACAAATTAATATGAGAGCATCTAGATTATTTGTTTCGTTCATGATGATAATATCATTTAAGTATGAAATTATGTTAGTAGATCACAACATTAGATTCATGCTATGGCATATGAAAATACATATAATAAATCAAAAAACTCTATCGTTATTACATTTACGTTAGTTGATCACAACATTAGATTCATGATATGGTATGTGAAGATACATATAATAAATCAAAAAAACTCTATCGTAATTACATTTACATATGTCGAATGAAATTCTACAAGATATATAATAAAGCAAAGAGTCCGCTAGATTGAAACTGCAAATTCTCGAACGCCAACAAAAATAAAAGAAAAACAACGCCATTTGAATCGTTCCAACAAAGATAAGAAGCTTCACAGTGAACTCAAATTCCACCGAGCCTTGAAAAGGACATTCTAGCGTATCAACCACCTAATCAATGAATTGAAAGTCTTACCACGGGAACAAGGCATCCATTCCAAAGAAATGAGACAAGCTCCACTCCCCAATCACCTGCACAAAGAGGCAGTATCAAAATAAACATGCTCTGAACAGCCAGCAAAACCAGATTACTCACGCTCCAGACTGATTAATTATTGCAGCGAGCTTCAAACAGAAGCCACGCCCCCGAAAGGATAGATAATGAGATTGCTTTCATCACCACGCTTTGAACATAAAATGCCTGAGCATTCCTGAGTTAACGAGGGAGCCTCTATTAAATTACAGCTTCTATTCGCGTGGATAAGAATATTCTTCTTTTGAAAATGATGACATATGTGTAAAAAAACAATTTAGAACAAAAAAGAAAAACAATAAAGAGTCAATTAAAAAAATAAGAAAGAGCTAAAAGAAAAATGATAATGTGCATTTATATTATCAATAAGGTCATTTAAAAAAAAAGAAATAACAATAAAATAATAAAAATTTATTACGAATAATAATGAAATTCTTGTGAGAAACAAATAAATTGTGTGAAGATTGAAAGTTGAAAGAGTTGAGACAGGGTCTCTAATAATATTGACATTCATATGCGATGTTTATAATTGATACAAGTCGATATGAACTATTAAATTGTTGAAAAAGTTCAAAAGAGAATCTTTTATAATGTTGAGAGAATATGAGTGTATGGTTTTGGGACTTAACTATCTTAAAAGTATTATTAATATAACAATATAATTATAATATTATATTTTCGTAATCGGCTTTTTGGTGGAAACCGATCTGAAGTCTTGAAAACAAAAGGTTTTTTTTTACGAGAGTTGTCAACAATCATTTTTAAGGTGAGATTGAAACACATAAAATCGGGTAATTTTAATAAAACTTTTATTTTATTAAAATACCAAATTTTGGTATGTGAAATCAGAAATTAGGTTCGAGAGTCAGTTAGTTACACGTGGGGAAGTATTAGCATCCCCACAGCACCCAAAATTAATACCTAGTCGATTATCCTATATTTTAAAATTTGAAATTTTAAGTTCAAAATTTTGTTTAAATTAGAAACCACTCACTTCAACAAATTTATCAATTTATGACGAAATTTTTATATAACGTTGTGTATAATGTCACAAAATATACTATAAACGTGACAATTTTTTTGTTAGATTTAATTATTCATGATGCATCTTTTATGACAATTTTAGAAAATGTTATTGATTTTCTTCATTATATGTTTCGAGCCAAAATTTACCTCCAAAAATAAATTGGTGGGAAACCTTTCAATGATGTTTAAATAAAATAGTGACATTGTAAAATTGTCTTCAATGAAATAGAAATATTAGTGAATATTTAATATATGGAATATTGATGTTACAATTTTTTCACCAACAAAATATATTTATGACAATTTGATTCGTCATATTTTATATGATCTAAAAGGTGACATTTTATTCTTGCCACAAAAATTAGGTTTAACATGGTTAAAGAAACAATTAGTCTATATATCTTATTTTTTATATGATGATTTGAAAAGATTTCATGTCATTTTTTCAATTAATATTTAGTGCCGATAATTAACATAAAAAATTGACGCGCAAATTTTTTAATGACATGTTTGATGTGTCACTAATTCAAAATCTTATTAGTCATAAACTTTAAAACATTTTTAAATTTTAATCTCATAATTTCAATCGCTCCTATTAATTTTCTCAAAGTTATGCGTTCCATAAATATTTTATATGTGTATATATATTTAAGACATTTTTCTGTTAATATACATTTGGCTTAAGAGTTCAAGAAACCTTAGACATTTGAAAAATAATTAATTTATTCACTAATTGTTTTCACCCGAATAGGTCCTTGCACTAAGAAATTAAATTAATTATGCCCTCAAATTTATTCATTAATTAAGTGCTTTGATCAGTTTTGATCGTTAAATTTTAATATTTAGGTTATCTGTTATATGGCAACGCTAAAGCGCACCACATGGTACACTCTGGTAATGTCACATGTTATTTCTAGAGTTTTTAATTTTAAAAAAATAGTTAAAAATCTGAAAAATATAAAGTCATACTTTAAAATTATAAAATTACTAAATTATTTATTTTTCTGAAAATTTTAAGATTTATTTGAAAATAAAAAAAATTATATATTATTAAATTCTTGAGGTTTATGTGTGATAAATATGAAATTTAGGAACTAGAAAATAAAAAATAAAAAAAAAGAAAGTAGAAATTTTAAAAAGTTAACCCTAAAAGTTTGATTACCTATCTTGTAGTTTCTCCGAAAGTATAAGGTAAAACCCTCTTTTATTTTTGGATATTAAATTATAATAAAATAAATCTAACCCTGACCTATCATATTTGAAGAAAAGGAATAGACTAAACTCTAAACTTCCGCAATCTTTTGGCCGTCGCCGTTCGCGCCATCACCGGTGAACCATGCCTCTGTTCATGAATTAATCACTTCCATGGTACCAATATTAGCAAATCCATTCCGGAAGGAAATGGTGGTATTCTCAAACCGATCCATCTTGATTTTGAGGCGGATGCCGAAATTTGTCTGTATTTGTTCGGAAGCAGTTATAGTGACATGGTTCATTCTGTTTGCGGTGTTTTGGCAGCTTGATAATTCGCTCAAATGGGTACAAGAAAGATTAGGTTCTTCGCATTCTCCATGTCGACCACGTCCTACACTTGTGCGACGCTCCCTGTGTTCCTCCAAGAAAGGTACATTTTTCATCAGAGAAACTGCTCACAATGCTTACATGAGACTATCATACATTATATCAAATGACTTGGTGAAATTACCGGTCTTGGTTTTTCCTCTCATTTGCTTTCGATTGTTTTATATCAGCACTAAACCGATACCTATGATCTTTCTTATGTACTTGGATGTTTTACAAGTCATTTTGGATGTACTTGGATCTTTCTTTGAAAAAAAGGGCCAAAATGGGCAAATTTATACAGAAGAAAACAATGTAATTGAATCTGTATAATTTCATTCAAGAGTGAGTTGGATCAAAAGTAGCAAAATAATTTAGATCATAATTGATCTTTTGAATATACAATAACTT